TCTTTTTAGGATTTATTTATTTATGCAAACAGAATTGGGGTAGAGTCCACAGGCAAAGTGGGGAGCAGAAAAGGTATACTGCTGAGGGGAGCAGCCAGTGAGACGGGAGGTCTGCCATGCCATGTGGATCACCTCCCAGACAGGGAATCGAACTCACACAGAGGCAGGTGTGGCCAGCTTGCAGAGCTGCATTCTAGCTGATTGTGCTACCAGGGAGAGCCCTGCTCTCAAATTATATACAACTTGAATGAGGTCTGTTTTATGTAACATTTTCAACCTACAAAATATATTTTTTAAATTTTTAATAATTTCTTAGAACCTCACAATAATTTGAGATCAAATATCATTCACATCATCTCATCTACTTCTTACACATAAGCTTAAATCACTAAGTAATGGTGATTTAATACAAGAAAATGCCATATGCGCTAATCACTATTCCTTGAGTTTTGGAAATTCAGTCTTTAGATGTGAATTAATATAAATTTTGTCACAAAATATAGTGTGTGCTCTACCCTTCCCACACTGACATTTTAATTTTAACATAATTATTCTGAAATTATTCCAAAATTTCTCAAAAATCTCACTTTAAATAATTAAGGATATTGTTATCATCGATTTGTTTGTTTCTAAACAATTTTTTTTATTTCTCCAACTAAAAACATCATGTCAAGCATAGAATACCATCTTAAAAATGACTTATTCTGTCATAAAACTCCTGGTTAAAGCTGTAAGGAAATTCAAAACAGCCTTCCCTCATTTGAAAGCAATAGGAGAACTCAGCCCACATCCCGCCCACACTGACTACACCACTACATCTTCTCACCAAGTACAATTTACTGTGTAGTCAAGCTGCAAGGATGAATAGCCAAAGTGTAATCTATTCAGACCTGAAGCATGCAAAGAACTCAACAAGACAGCAAAGAAAACCTGAAGACACTGAAAGATCCATTTCAGTAGCCAACCAAGAAATAACCTATTCAGAATTTGACTTTCAAAATGCTTCTCAGGCTCTTCAGGGGAGTGACAAGACATACCGCTGCAAAGGTAAAGTGTTTACTAGACACACAGTGTAATTGTTGAGGGATGGCTGTGGTGTGCGTAGGGAGGAAGCTCGCTTGTCTCATTTGTGAAGATCAGAATTTGAAGTTGGAATTGAAGATTCTAATGTGAAATGTAAAGACTAATTTTTTCAGACATTGTTGTCATTGAGTAACTACTCATGATTATTATGTATAAAGAAAATACAATGGTGTATGATGGGAGAAATATTATGGTGGGAAGCATCGGTCTGAGATCCAAGTTTATATATGGGATTCCCTGACTTCATCTCTCCTGCTCAGTGTTCTATCTCTCTCCCTGCAGGCTCACCAGGACCCTCTGAGAAACGCTTTGCAGGGATCTTGGGTATTATTTGCTTTGTCTTGATACACATCATTGCAGCAGTGGTCATTATTAGGTCCTGTAAGTAAATTTTGGAAAGACTATAAGAAACATTCCACTTAATGATAATCAATCACTCTACATATTTCATCATATTAAGGAATAAAACTCTCATTTTAATATGTTTATTTAGACTAAATGTGGAAAGTTATTCAGAACTTGTCAATAGTATAAATGACAATGAACATAGAGAACAGTTTTTGCATATTGAAATTTTGTAATTCAAAACATGCTTTAGGATACTAAAAGACCTTTTTGAGAAATACAAATTATTTCTGGGGCTTTGCTAAGATAAGTATAAACTAACAGAGAATATGGTTTCATCTTTTGTACTTCTGAAATAGCTTTCTTCAAAAGCTCGATACATTTTTGTTTTCTTGGTTAAATCAATTGTACTGCAGCTCATTGTAATTTAAGTCAAACTTCAAACTAAAAACTAATTTCCTTAGAACACCTTTAATGTTTATCAGGATTACTTTTTTTTTTTTCTTTCTAGATGCTGAAACACCAAAGGCAAAAAATTCATCCCTAACAATGACCTCAAAAGGTATATAATGATTTCCCAATTTCTGATGTTAATACAGTTTATATTTTCTCACTATGTTAGAGAAGGGAGAAATACAAAAAATTGAATTACAAATTTAGATCACAAGTAATGATTGTTAAAATGGTCATGTTATACAATAATAAAGATAAACAGTCATTTAAAATCATCTTACTCATTGTTGCCAATTAGTTCAAATGTCCTACTGTTCCAAGTGAGTTAAATATTTCCATTCAAAACAGTATTTTGTTCACTAGATATTCAAAACATGTAGAGAGTAGTTTCACTTGTAAGTTTGTTTGTATAAGCCCAATCCTTAGGAGAGAGTAACTGTTTTTCTCTGAGTGTCTGTATGTGTCTTTTTCAATGTACCAGCTGAGCTGTCAGGAGGCATAATTATGCTATTTTATGTGTGTGTGTGTGTGTCTACACCCATGAAAATTTAATGATTTTAAATTCTTTTAAAAATTCATCTTGAATTTTGGTAATAATTAATAGTCTTTCCACAGCATATTCTTGTGGCCTTTGCCCAAAAGACTGGATAACATACTCCAACAACTGCTATCACATCAGTAATGAAAAAAAACCCTGGAACGAGACCATGACAGCCTGTACTTCTAAGAACTCTCACCTGCTCTGCATGGATAATCAGGAAGATGGGGTAAGATTTAAAATATTTTATTAAAATATTATTTTGGTCAAAATTATACTTACTGATTGCATCTATTCTTGTGGGAATATATGTAGTTTTACTGCAAAACTTGATACTCTGTTGTTTGACTTCATATTGTTTTTCTGTTTCACATTGTGAATGCACATTTGGTCATTTTTGATTCTAGTTTTTCATAGAAAACCGAGTTTCTATAGATGCTTCAAGTAAACTGTGCTGTTCAGTTTTACCACACATCAAGGAAACTAAATATATGATGATTTAGTTTCCTTTAATTAAGTGAAATAAATCCAGGCAATTACAATTTACAAGTGAACAAGAAGCCCCAAGCCCCATTAGTGCCACCTGAGTGCATTCTGTTCACTTCTCTGTGCTCAGTAACCACTGCGCTATCTTGTCTGCTATCTCTACTTAATTTTGAGGATTACATAAATGGAAAATGGATTTTATGTATTTCTTTTCATGCTCATGTGAAATGTGCAGTTCCTCCATAATTTTGCATTTATCTTCAACTTTTCATTATCACTGCTATATAATATACTAGCATGACACTTCTGTTATGCTTAGACATTTAATTGGTGGGTGTGCTGAATAATTAGTTTATGATATTTCTCCTGTATGACCTTCTTCTATATACTACATTGTGTTTGTAACAATATGCCTATTATGAATAAATATGTAGTATATAATACATTATATTTGACAATATAAATATTATATTTAAATACTATAATAATCTACAAATGTAATTACATTATAATAATAGCTACAATTAAATAATTTATGTTGCATCAAATGTACCAAATAACTTTGCTGGATCATAAATATGGATATATGTTAATTTATTAAATTGCCCGAGTGTATAAATTTTTTTATGAAAGTATACATTTTAGTGTCTGATTTTTTTTTACCTAGAAGCTGTTGTTATATTGTACTTATGATTACTTTTTATTTTGTGAACTATAAGTAATATGTTTTCACCGTGATTTAACATTTTTACTCTACTGTTATATCCATTAATGATCAAAACCTACTAATGTATTAATTTTGCATTTTGATTTCTTCATATGTCCTGAAAATAATTCTTTTTTTTTCTACATCTATCATTTGCAAATATTTTGTCTAACTCTTGTGATTTTTCTTTTCCCTTGCAGGAGAAGAAGTATTTTATTTTGATTAATTACACTCATCATCAGTGTTTTCGTTTATGGCTAATTATTTTTGGCATTGTTTCTAAAAAAAATCTTAAGTCAAAGACTTTTTGCATTTTTTATGCTATGACATCTTAAGGCTTACACTTCGCTGTACAAACTATTGAGCTTATTTCAGCATATAGTATGAAGGATACAGAAAATTATCATTATGTAATTGTTATTTTGTATATTGGTAGCCAACTATTTCAACAGCATTGATTAGAAAGACTACTTTCTTCACTTAGTGAGTCTTCATCTTTGCTGAAATCTGTATGTCATATATGTGTGCATATACTTGTGCATTTTCTAATCTGGATCTGGTTGGTTATCTACTTGAATCCAACCCATACTTTAAACACTGTCTAACTTAAAATAAGTTTTATTATTTTATAGTAGTAACCTTTCAATGCTGTCCTGTGTGTGCCAGGTATTTTCATGGGTATTTCCTTTTTATCCGTATCTTTTAAATTTTTTCTTGCTTTTTAAGTGAAAACATTTATTTTATGTCTTTCTTCTCCTGAATTACTTTGTTGATTATAGTTTGTATAATCCCCCACTCATTTGGTGAATGGCATGAGTTAATCTTTCATTACAGCTGAGTATTAGTCTATAGTGTGTGTGTATATATATATATATATATATAATATATATATTATAAAATGTTGTGATGAACACAGGTGTGAATTCATCCCTTCAAATAAGTGTTTTGTATTCTTTGAGTAGATATTATATGGTAGTTGGATTTACTGTTGGTGTGAATGTAGACTGGTCAGACCTGTATGGAAAACAGTATGGAACTTTCTCAAAACTTCATATCACACATTAAAAAAAAAAAAAGCTTTGCTTTTCAATTTTTACCACACATTTTAATCATGATCATTAAGATTAAAATTAAGTGAAAATAATCAGGTGATTACAACTCAGTGATGCTGGCAAAGCTATACCTTTTCTCTAAGCCCTGTTTTACTTCTAACAGGAAATATTTTGTGTATTCTCAGTTTACTATTATTCAGTATTAAGTATTTTCTAAAATATTGTGCTTATTTGTTTCTATTTTGAGCTCTATATCTTCTAGAAATGCAACAAGATTGTTTAGAAATTCACATGCTTCATATAAGTAATTGTGAAATTCTATATGCCAGCTGTGTCTCAGTATTCCACAGTTTATTGATTTTCTTTTGAGCTGTTCTCATATTTGTTTTTTCATAGAACTTTTTAAGCACCTTTCAAGTTTTCGCATGGGTTAACCTTGCCCAAAGAACCTATAGTTATTCACAGACATTGCCATTGGACTCAGCTTTCCCTTCCAATCCGTAAGTAGTTTTTGGGAACTATAACATTGTATTCCTTAAACGGCTTACTCATAGTAGTAAAAACCAATATGTTAATGATGCTAGAGCATAATTGCATACTTAGTGATTTTTGGAATCATCAGGACCATTGAAATGGTTACATTGGAAATATTCCAATATAAATTGGTATTCTAATATAAAGTCCAATATAAACCTACAGTGAAAATATTCAGCCTTAGATATAATTATTTGTTCAGATACATTGTTTAGTGTTTAGTCAACACAGTATTAGCTAATAACTAATATTAATTCATATTACATGTTATGGCTATTGATTTTTTGTTGTTTTCTTCATTGCAGCATTTTACAATCTTCAGAGAAGAATAAGTTTTGTCCATATTTTGATTTTCTTACAAAAAATGTTTCTTTTGACTTTTGTGTAGTAGAAAAACTTTATATCTGTAAGCATTGGGCACATTGGCTTCCCTGAATTTAGTTAATACCACTCATCATCTGTAAAGTCCACATTTCTAGCTTTTGGCTACTTTCTTAGAATTTTATATTAAAATATTTTATTTTATATATATTTTACGTCAGTCTTCAATTTCATACAATGCATGTTTTATCATTTTTTATATGGGACCTCAGAATCCCCACCAATTCACCCGTAGACCATCACGATAGCCCCTTGTGCACTTCCCACCCCTGTTTGGGTCCAATTTCCTCCCCCCCAAGAAGTCTCCGGTTTATAGTTTCCTGTTGACTTTGTTATTGACTTTTGTTATAATGACTTTTTTCCCCACCCCTTACTTCGGTCCCCTACATTCCTCCTATAAGATAAATCATCCAGTATTTTTCTTTTTGTTTTTCTTTCTGGCAAATTCATCATTTTTAGAAAACTGGGAGGTTGGCGCTGCTATTTTGCCCAATCCCCTGTTCCCACACAGCACAGCTTCCCCCATTAACAACATCAGTACCAAGATGGCACATCAGTTACGGAGGAGGGATCCACATTGAAGCATCACAAACATTCCACTTCCCAGTTTACTGAGGCTTTGTCAGTGGAATAGTATTTATTATAAATCTTCATATTAGATATATGGCTAGTCCATGTAACACATATTTTGTTGTTTATTAAAATAAACCATGTGTAAACTATAAATCCTAATGACAAGAACTGTTACTTCTTCAAAGCTGAAAGGTGAGTAATTCCACTCTATTTTCTCATCAATTGATTTGTTCTAGCCCTTGGCATTGTTGATGATGAAAATTACACAACCTAAGCTAGCAAATGTTAAGTCATAGACAAATCAGAAGACACAAGAGTGATTAACTATTTGAGGCGGACAGATGTCAGGCTGGTCTGTGGAGCAGGAATACCTCTGCCAGCGTGTCCATGGGCAGAGGCTGGCGGGCAGACACTGTGACAGACTGACCACGGTCACCGGCGAGAGTGAGTGCCCGGCAGGACCTGCACACGTGCCCTGACACCTGTGAATCAAACAGCCACACAAACACCAGGCAGTGGCGAAGAAGCCCCTCTTCTCTGCCAGGTCTCCCTGGTGCTTTTCTTGGAAGATTTATCTATTTTTTCATACAAGAACTGGGGTTCAGGCCAGAGGTGTGGGGCTGTGATACGATTCACCAGAGACAGAGTAAGGGGCTGAACAGGTGAATGAAATGCACTGCTGAGGGCAGCCCCAGGGAGGCAGAAGAGGTCTGCTGTGCCAGGTGGGTCAACTTTCTAGCAGGGAACACTACTTCAGCTGCAGTAGCTGAGGAAAGCTTCACTTAACCCCCTGTGCCATCAGAAAGGGCTCTTCACGGTGCCTTTTACAGCAAAACTTAATGTCCTGTGTGTCGAAGGCAGAAGAGTTTCCACAATCAAGTTCCATGATCTCAGAACAGGACATGGAAGTACAAATTTGGAGCTGAGAGCAATAATTTATTCACTGGAACTCGGCTTACTTTGTAGGCCACAACCAGGAGTTGCTCTATAAGAAACTTTTTGTTCTGCCCATTCCCTTGGAGAATGTGAAGGATGGTAACATAACATCTAGGGAAAGGGATGTTTCAGGTTCCTGCCCCCATTCTATGAAGGAGAGGAGGTGGGCAGGGAGGTGAAGCTGGAGATGAGACCGGCAGAAGGGTGGAGAGAGAGCAAGAAGACTTGGGGAAGCAGAAGAACAAGTGAAAAAGTCATGCTGGCTTCTTGGCCTTGGACTGTATCAGATACTTCGGTGACAGAATCCATACACTTGAAAGGACGTGGCTGAGAGACCATGGGGAGGGTAACAGCGGCAGCCTTGATTTCGATTTTGACTTTGTTCTTTTCCCTCTAGACTTGTACGGCCCTTCTGTCCCTTTCCTGTGGGTCCCCACCAGACAGTACCATGGACTTGGTAGGCTTTTTGGTCTCAGCAACTCTGCTTTGAGCCAACCCTGTTTGTCTGGGCTTTTACCGGCAGGGCATGGGTAACTTTGGTGCATGATTTGGAAACTATATTCTTTCTCTTCTCTTTATTGCCTACTAGTTGTGTTGATTTTTTTTTTCCCCAGTGAATGTCTTATGATCTAGATTTTATTTTGTTTTTATATTGTGCATGGAAGAACCTATTTAAAGCAGTTATCCCTCACCCTACCCTGTAGCAAATAACACCAAAGTGTACCTTCTGAATATGTCCAAATAAAATATTATCATGGTTATATTTATATTAGATATGATAGGAAATTTCATAGGTAGTCATCACATCTTTTAAAAAGTGTCATTATTTTGAATGGGTCTTGAGCGGGCCAATGTACCATATCTATCATGCTGATAAGGGCCTAGAGCATACACCTCTAAATAAAAAGAAGGGGAGAGGAAGAAAGAGAGAGAATTTGGGGGTGGTATAACCAGTCAAAATGCATGAGAGACAGGAATATGTGAAATAACTAGTCAGCACTTTGAAAAATTATCAGGAGAGAATTTATCAATATGATCTAATGGAACTATCCTGGAGAGATTAGAGCTACTGTAAAAACAGTCTTTCAATGACTCTGAGTAATCAGTGTCTTTTAGGTTTTTCTGTTGTCTCATTTTCACCCCTGTTGAGATTCAGGAATTTTAAAAGTTACCTTGTTTTATTAAATTCTCTTGCACTCCCTCTCTATCAGTTTTTATTATCATGTTTAGAAAAACACTTGTGGGAAGCATAAAATATTAGTAACAAGAAGCATTAAAAGCTAAGAGCATTTATATAGCTCACACAGCTAGTTATTGATAACATTCAGGAAAAATTTCATAATTTCACAATGATTCAGAAAAATGCATGCCCTAATTCTGTTAACAAGCCGAAGAGCTGACCTAGCTGATTACTATTTACAAAATAAATATTTCCTAGACTTTCATTTCTTTTAATACAAGCATATTCTGTACATTTGCTATACTTATCCTCTATAAAAGTGCATAGACGATATATAATTAATCTTGACTAATCTCATACAATTTCTAAGTTATAGCTGTAACTAATTGCTAACTATGTGTGGTAAACAACCCTGATCTCACTGACATTTAAAAATAAGTGTTTACGTCTCAGTCGCCCATTTGTGGTTTGACTGTTTAGTTGGTGTGAGCCGGACAGGTAGGAGCTTCACTTCAGACTACAGTCGGCCCAGGTTTTGTTTTTTTACATGTATTTTGTTCCTTGAGCACTGAGCCAACAGGTACATGACCTTCTCACAGGCGAGGTTAGCAATGTGTGAGGGACAAGCAGAAAAGTGTTACTTATGGCCAACCTCAGGACTCAGGCCGTCACTTTCCCATTCACGTGATGTTCTCAAAATAAATCACACAGTCAAATAAATGATCATTGATTATATACCAGCAAGCTCTACTCACTGTGTTCAGAGGGGAAAACTAATCTTATCTACCACAATAGTCATTGGAATGGTTTTGTCCGAGTATTTTGTGAGAAAAATGACTATTAAAATGGAAAATGGGGAAAAATAGTAGCTCCTTCATTTCCCATGTAGGTTATGACTTTCTCTGTGCTAAAAATACTCATGAAGTTGTCTTCTGTGCTGGTACAGTTATACAGATGCTCTCATCAGGGACCTGGATCAATGTACAAATAGGGAACCAGCATGGTGTGAAGTCTCAGGACATAAACTAGAAGCATAGAGTGGGGTGGGGTGGGCTGAGGGGTCACAACTGGGGAAGGAAGAGCAGAGACATAGTGATGGTTCAGGGGTGCTGTGGTGGTGGGAGAACTAAAGGACTATCCTGCCCAAAAAGGAACAATGATATCAGAAATATAAATAATAATAATAAAAATAAACTTTAGGCCTTGAACAATGAAATTGAATCCTTTGAATGTAACTCTACCTGTATCCTATTAACACTGTGACTTAATTGTATGACATTTCTGGCTCAGATTCCTCTCATAAAATATGATGGAAATAGTATCCTATAAACATAATTTGCAAAACTACCTGCAGATTATTATTATTATTATTTACACTTGAAAAGCATTAGAGTACAATTTAGTGAGGTTAAAAATGACACCCCCACTCCTGGCCCAGCAGACAGGTCTGGGAGGCTTTCATAGCTAAGGGGTTCGATAAGGCTGCCTTGGGGACTGGGCAGTGAAATCCAGCACCATGACCAGAAAAACTAGCCCAGCTCCAGGGACGCAGGAGCAGAGACCAGGACATGTTCCTGTGACAAAGTCCAGTGCAGGAGACCAGGCGTGCCAGCAGCTAACTGGTGCAAACCTGCACCCCAAGTTAAAAAGCCTGAGAAAACGGGGTCATAGAGAGCCTCCAGTCTTCCTTCCCCAGCAGGCCTCCACTGCTCCTCCTCTTAGCAGTGTATTTCAGTAAACCCACCTTTTCTCTTCTCCACTCGGTCTCTGGTGAATCCTTTCACACACACCCGACCCCACCTCCCACATACACACCTTAGGCCTAACCCTGATCTCCCCACAACAAAAAGTACAAAAAGCATTTCTGGCCACATAAGTACTGACTAAATCACACTTCTTTTTCCTGAAATACTCTTCACCTCCATCACCAGCCATGTGACCATAACTGTGGTGTCCTCATAGGTCTGCTCTGAGGAGTAAATGATATAATGATTAAGGATCCTTAAAGCAAAGCTTAAATCCACTAAGTTCTTGCTACATGTGACTTATTCACATCTTGTTTTCCTACATGTCGAATATGTGTGCATCCTAGGAGGACCTGAAAGCTAAATATTTGTCTTTTTTAACCTATCTAATACCTACTGTTTACCTACATTAGTTACAGCCGGCCATCAAAAAAAAAAAAAAGGTCTTATTAAACGATTCAGCAATTCAGTCATAGATATTGAAGATATTTGCAAAGAAAGATTTTTAAAAATTTCTACACATTATGTCTGCACAATTAATGAAACTAATTTCTTGCCATTCATGTACCCCATAATTTAAATCAAGTTGCAATTATTGTTCTTTTTCTCTCTCTCTCTCTCTCTTTTTAAAGATTTATTTATTTATGCATATAGAAATGGGGTACAAGCCAAAGGTGCAGGGGTGGTGAGAGGATTCACCAGGAACAGAAAGGGGAGCAGAACAGGCAGATCTATGAGGTACACTGCTGAGGGGAGCAGCAGGCCCATGAGGAGAGGTCTGCTGGCCATGTGGGTCACCTCAGGGGTGGGGGATCGAACTTGCACTGAAGCAGCTGGGGCTGGCTTGCAATGCTGCGTCCTAACCCGTTGTGCCACCAGGGAGGGCCCAAAATTTATTATATTTTTGTTGAAGCAGCGCAGAATTTATGTTCTTTATTGGCAAATAGTTCTAAGAGGGGAGGGCTGAACTGGTATCTAATGTTCCAATTTAGTAATCTGAAAACTTGTCTTCTTGGTTATTATTGAAGGTAAAGTTACAGATGAGACATTAGCATTCAGAACTGCTGTCCTTGCATTTTTGAAGTTCTTCTCCTAAGGACAAGTACTACCTATTTTAGTTTCTCCAAAGATAATAAATATGTAAATTTCCAGAATGGTTCTGACTTGAAAAAGGACCATAGCCTAATTAAATGAACCCAAAGTCACTCTAAATAGGAGATTGATGTTTTTGTTTCCTAATTCACTTTCTGTTCTAAATGATCTATGTCAATATTGCCCAAATCCTCTCAGAATTTATGGAATAAAGTTCAATAACTTCAACAGCAAACTGAAAATAAAAATAATACATACAATAAAATATGACCAGAGAGGAACCTTGAATTTAAGTAAGTATATTGAAATCAAGATTCCCAGAGGTAAAATAATTACATACCTCTTTCAAATTTTATAAAAAGACATTTATAGCCAAGGAATCTGGATTTCTGCTTATGGTATCAGTAAGTGCTTCCTGAACCCTGCCACTGTAACAATAATAAATTCTGGTCAAAGTGCAGTGTGCTTTGAGACAGTGGTGGGAGGCAAGTAGAAATCAGAATTTTGACAAATAGAAAGTGAGGTGAGAAGAAAGAAATGACACCAAGAAAAAAATAAAATTATAATGATATTTAGATCAATAGCTATGCATATACTTAAATTTAAGTTTATATTTAAATTTATATTTAAATTTAAGTTTATATTTAAATTTGTATTTAAATTTAAGTTTATATTTAAATTTAAATTTAAATTAAATTTAAATTTAAGTTTATAACTATGCATATAAGTAAGTTAATTTTTACTCTTGAAAATTGGCATTGTTTTTGAGTAATAATTCAGAAGTTTTCTTCAGTATATCCTTGTGGTCCTTGCCTGAATGAGTGATTTATATTTTCCAACAGTTGCCGTTATATCAGTAATACCTGAAAAGCCTTGGGTGAGTATCTGACAACCTAATCTTCTAAAAGCTCTAACCTGCTCGATTAGATCATGAAGAAGAAATGGTGAGTTTCTACATGCTTCAGATTTACTTGAATGTTTCTTCAGTCCATGCTAATATTTATGTAACTTATTCATCCTTTATAAAATCTGTAGTTTATTTTAAAGTCTTTTAATACCGATTGTTTGAATTTAGTATTTATTTGTATTTTACACTACCAGTGCTCAGAATCCATTCCTTGCATTTCATCTAAAATAATGTCTCCATAATCTCTTTTTTCATTTATTTTTCTAATTAATTGTATGATGCCTCAAGGAAATTGAACATATCATGGTTGCACAGCTTGATCAGAACGAAAAGAATTACACAATTACAAATCAGATCATGAAATGCTAATCACTGAAGTACAAATGAGATCATGTATTTTCTCATTGCTTCTCTTCAATTCTTATTAATTACTATCTTTACTTTCAAAATTATAGATCTCTTTAACTTTTTTCAGCTCTCTATACATGGCATCATAAAGTATGCATATTTGTGTCCATTCCTTTCATCCACCTAGGATATTTTTGCAATTCATCCAACAGCTACCTGAGCCTGTAGCTAATTTTCACTGCTAATTTATATAGATATAACATTTCAAAATCTATTCCATCTGATATCTTTTGTTGAGGTCATTTGTCTTGAACTCTTGGGACTGATGACACCTCCTGGGTTGAGTACTTATGGTGACAATGTCCTACTTGATGGTACCACATTTTCCATCCACACATCTAGTGGGACAAAATGACCCACTTCCTCTGGCTGCTTAGTATTAATAAATTACTGGGCAAAATTTACCTGGTGTTCATTTATTTGTGTAGAAGACCTGTAGGCAAGAGGTGGGGGGTGAGAGGATTCACCAGAGACAGAATAGGGAGTAGAACAGGAAGATCTATAGAAATACACTGCTGAAGGGAGGTGGGAGGCAGGTCAGGAAAAGTCTGCATGTGCCATGTGGGTCAGCTCCCTGGCTGGGGATCATACTCAGGCCACAATAGTGATAATAAAGCCTCAGCCATCAGGAAGCATTAACCTGGTGTTTCTAAGTAGGAATCCCTTCATTGTCCAATAATGGTTTTACCTTATGTTGTAACAGTTTTTCACATACTATAGTGTTTACCAGTCCATGTTGTATGGTACATGTTTCCATCTTTTTATGTCCATCTTTGTATGCCTTGAGAGTTAAAATACAGTTGAAAATGTTTAGTATAATTAGTAGCAAATCTTATTAAATACCAAAGAGGATGCAAATTAGTGTAGTTTCTGTGGAAAATGGTGTGGAGATTTCTTAAGAAAATAGAAATAGGAATTTTGTGTGACCCAGCAATAGCTCTATTAGGTATCAATCCTAAAAGAATGAAAACTTCAATACAAAAGGATCTCTGTATGACTATATTCATAGCAGTACTTTCCATAATTATCCCATCATGAAGCCAACCTAAGCACCTCCAATAATGGATAAATTCTGGGATATATATCCAATGGAATACTACACCGATATTGAAAAGATGAAATATTGACTTTTGGAACAAAGTGGATGGATTTTGAGGTGATTATATTAAGTAAATAATTCAAAAAGTGAAAGATATTGGAGGCTTCACTTATCTGTGGAATATAAATAAACAAAAACAAACACAGATGAAACACAAAGAATAATTTTGGGTTTAGTAAAGATAATTAAACTGCTACCAGGAGAATGGGGGAAGGGCAAACAGAGAGGGGGATGGGCTATAGACTTGGGTGATTTGTGGAGGTAAATTATGCACATATTGTGAAGCAAAAAGATAATCCCAAATTAAAATTAAAAAAAGAAAAAAACAACTTATGAAGTTGAAAAAAGCTGTTTATCAGATAATACTATTATTATAATAATGACTTATTAAGAGTATAAAGAAGTATGTCATGTCAAGAGTTAACCAACGTCTAAATATAGAATTAAACACCTCAGAGAGTCAGAAAAAAACCTCTACATTTGTGATTGAGATGGAAGTTAACAACATGCGTGGATCCAATATTTTTTTAGATTCTGAGAACAATTTCTCAGAGACACTCATCCATGGACACACTCAATGACATACAATGAGCCATATTCTTCTAGAATGTGGAGATGTGCAATGAGATAATCTGTCTTCAGAATAGCCCAAGTATAACAATTTCCTGTTCAAACTTTAAGTGACATTTTGATGAGAAATCTACTTTTTCCACTCTTGCTTCACTCAGCCTTCACAGACCAGCTGTGAAGATTTCAGATACTGTTTTTTTTCTTGTTTTTGTTTATAGGGTAACCAGACCCCCACTAGAGCATGCATGACTTCCTGGCTGACAGCAGGTATGTGCTGCTGCTCTCTTACCTTTCTGCTGTCTCTACTCTCCCTAAACTTTTAATAGGAGATTACAAATGGTTATGTTCTGTGACAACTAATACACTATTTACTATCAAACAAAATAAAACACTGATATCTTTATTTGAGTAATTCAAAGCATAAAACAAGAACAGTATGATATTCAAGGATTTCTTAGCATATTCACATACTTGCCAGTAGAGTATTAAGCTAATCAAACATACTTGCATAATCAAGTTTGTAAACAAATGCAATTTACCCCAAAATCCCATACACAACATGGTAATAGTTTATTTTGGAATTTTAAAAATTTATTCACAATACTATGATGATTCAGAAAGATAGGGTCCCATTTCTTCAGGTATATTTACATTTACATAACATTCCTTTACAATTTTAATGATTTATCAGAACTCTGAAATAATTAGAGATAAATATAATCTCCTAACATTTCATCCCATTTTAAAAATAAGTTTAAGGCTAAATAAAAGTTAACTTGTGTAGGAAATAAATATATACACGAATACTCCCATTGCCCCAACTTTCGAGTGCTCAATCTTTAGACATTCTTGGATTTAAAAATTGTTGTAATTTTATTTCTTTTACAGCATTTCCATTTTAACACATTTATACTACAGTGTAAAATGGGGTCTGAGAAATTACACTTTAAATTAATAAGGATAGTAATATTAACAAGCTTCTTTAGTCTTAGGTAATTGTTTGCACTTTAGCAAAGGGTAATGTGTCCAATATTGAAGACCATTTTAAGAAATACTTATTCGGTCAATATCAGGAAACACCTGAACACAGCTCTGAGACTTTTACATCGTGCAATTGCATCAGAGTCAGAAGCTCCTGCCACACTCCACCCCATTGGCTGCACGAGGGATCTTGTCATCATGTGCACTATTAACTACCTTAGTTCAGTGATCACAGAGCAGAGCTGCAGAGATGAGTAACGAAAGGGTAACCTATGCAGAGCTCAGTGTGGCAAAGGACTCCAATCGACACCAAGTGAAACCCAAGGGCACCAAAATCTCCATTCCGTTAGCTGAGAAGGAACTAACCTATGCACAGTTAAGTCTCCAAAATACTTCACAAGCTCATCAAGGGAATGGCAAGAAGAACCACTGCAAAGGTAACATATTTAGTAGAGATGCAATAGAACTGTTCGAGAATGTGCAATGGGGTTCAGGTGTGAGGGAAGGGTAGGAGAATAAGCTTACGCGTTTTTCATTTGTGAGGGTCAGAATTTGATGTTGGAGTATGATACTCTGATAGGAGAGCTAATGGCTAACTTATTCCAGGGATTTTACAACTCATGGAGTATTATGTTTACTGAAAATACAGTGGTATTTCCTGGGAGAAAGGTTACAATGGGAGATAAAGTTCTGGTGTCCAAGTTTATATAATGACTACTGTGCATGTAAACTGTCTGAACAACTGTCTCCATTTTCCTTTCTCAGTGTTTCCATTTCTCTCACTGCAGGCTCACTAGCACATCCAGAGAAATATATTGCTGGGCTCCTGGGCTTCATCTGCCTTGTCTTGATATGCGTTATTGCAGCATTGATCCCTACTTACTTACACTGTAAGTAAATTTTGCAAATATAAAGGAGCTTTTCAGTTTCATGATCATATGTGACTTTAAACATTTCATATTAAGAAAGAGAACTTGCATTTCAATGTTTACACTTCGATAAATTGTAGAGTGGTTACGCTGAATTTGTTAAAATATATATAATAGAATGTGCTGAGTGCTCTATACATTCAGATTTCACAACTCAAAAACAATCTTTAGAAGGCTGAAATCACTCACTGAGGAATAAGAATTAATTCAGGAGACTGGTGAAACCAAGACTTAGTAAAGTCTGGTCCTTTATGCTTTTGAAACATCTTTTTTCCAAATGTTCATTATTTTATTCAGGATCCTCATGAAGTTAATTTTACTCCAGATAATTGCATCCTGAGCAATATAGCAAATTTCAAAGTAAGAAATTAAAATTATGATTTATTTAGATAAACATTAATATTTATAAGACTTCCTCCAACTTTTCTAGTGCCTGAAACACAGAATGTGAATGCATCATCCCAAGAAACAGGGGATCAAGCAGGTACACAGTGATTTTCAGAGTTGGGATATCAGTACAATTCATATTTGTCTCTATCTTATACTATACAAAAGTAATTTTGGGCAATTAATTTCAAAATCAGGTAACAAATAAGCAATGAATATAGTGTTCCTTTGTATACAACAAAGAGAATATTCCTTTCACTCACCATACCAATGTTGACAGTTGGCTCAAATGCCTACTTATAATAAAAGATATAATATATATCAATAACTGGAGAGATATAATTAAACATGGGTATGTTTATTGACATTGAAGACACATATAGAGTCAATATATTTTGTGTAGATTTATGCTATACATGCTATAAATTTGAGAAGCTGATCTTTTCTCTTTCTCAGGGACTTTTTTTTTTTTAATATACATAGCAGCCTGTGAGATGCAGAGCTAAATATTTAAAATATCTTATGCAATGCATACAAGTAAATCCATCCTAATTTTTGAAAATCCAAATTTTTTGGGGGGTGATAATTCATAATCTTCTTCAGCCAAACACTGTGGCCCCTGTCCCAAGGAGTGGCTGACATACTCCAACAGCTGCTATTATGTCAATCATGAAAGAAAAACCTGGAAGGACAGCGAGACAGACTGTGCTTCTAAGAAGTCTCAGCTGATCCACATAGATGATCAGGAAGAAATGGTAAGATGCTGAGTATTTCAAATGTTTTATTAAATGTGATTTCATAAATATTACATTTACAGTATTCATCCATGTTTTATATCTATTTTCAGCTTATATTAGAATATTTTCATATTCTATTGTTTGATGTCAAATATGTCATTTATATTTTTATATCATGGATGCATGTTTGATACTGTCCAGTTTGAGCTTTTCATAGAAAACCATGCTAAAATAGACTTGCTACTTAATTTTACCTCAAGGAAACTAAACTCTATATATTTATCATCAAGTGAAAAGATCCAGGTCATTGCAAATTGGATCACAAACTAAAATTTCCAACCCTCACTAAACCCTTTCTTTCCGTATCTTCACTTCTTCCCACCCTCTCATCTTCCTTCTAGAAGTTATACATTTATATATTGTGTTAGGTCTTTAATCCATTTTGATGTAAGTATTGTATATGGGTAAAATGTTCAGTTTACTTCTGTGTGTCAAGATAGTCAGAACTCCTGATACCATTTGTGAATGAAACAGTCCACTCCCCACAGAGTGGTCCTGGTACCCTTGAGGGGTCAGGTATTTCTGGATCCATTGTTAAGTTGTTTCTTCCTTGGAAGAGTAAGGTCTTGGGGTTTCATATCAGTCCATTTCAACCCAAACTTGTGTCCAAGACAAATGCAGGTTCTCTGTGTGGTGACACAGCCTAAGTGCTGGTAGAGCTGGGGCTTTATGACTCCTAACCCCTGATTTTCACATGTCAATTTACCACCAATCTTGCCTGTTCCCTCAATATTATTTCTTTACCATTGTTGTCAACTGTTTAGTCATTTGATTATGATTTGCATTTCTGTCAAGACTCTAGCATGGCATTAATCTCTGTGTGTGTGTTTAGAGGATTGTTCATCCCTTTACAATCAGTTTTCAATTTTTTTTTTATTTTTTCATTCTTTATTCATTTATTTTTTTTCATTCTGGGATCATCTGGTCTCCTCTACACATGTCAACATATTTTCCACCATCCAAGAATGTTCAGATTTAATGTATCCTCATTTCCATAGTAATTTTCCATTATATTTTGAAGTCTTAAAGAAATATGAGCTTGCTCAGTCCTTAACTGACAAATCCAGCATTAGCAACCCCCATGTAATGAACTGAAAAAGAAGGGGGCTATATAACAACCTCCCCCATCTCTGTGTTACTCAAGTCTGCCCCTCTGGTAATAACACCACTGATTTTTACAGTCTTCTACAAACATCGGAAACTATACTTCTCCTTGCACATTCCCTGGGAATGGGGAGCCGTGGGAGCTGTCTGAAGACAGCCCATCGCTTGAGTCTCTAACAACCTTTCTAATGATAAATATTTTGTAAATTATTTTTAGGTTTTGATAAATTTTCAGAGCCTTGAAACTGTTATTTTTGTCAATGTATCCTCCTCACTAATTCATAGCAACTCCTTTTTCTTAAGCATCCAGTGTATTATATTGCAATTGAATGTTACCACAATGGAAAGCATAAACTACTACTAATAAAAAAATCTTAAGTAAAAATGAAATAGCTATTTGTTATTACAAAATATAAACACTCTCATTTGACTTCTTGTACCTTTTGTTTTCCCACAGACGTTTTTGCGCATCTTTTATATCTTCCCATGGGTTGGAGGCTGCTACAACACCAGTGAGGGCAGATGGGTGTGGACAAATGGCTCCAATTTATCTTCCAAACTGTAAGTTTCTTCAGAACTCTTGTGTTTTATGACTTGAAGGAATTCATCTGAGCAAGAAAAAGCAGTATGTGAACAGATATGTAAACAAGTGTTTGTTGTCATCGAAGATTAACAAGTAGATTCAGATTCAAGTATGTAGTTAGTAGTCTAAAATATGCTAATTACTCAACATCTTGTTCTGTGTTGCCAAGATTAATTATGTATTGCATTCTATATTTCAGGCTCACAACACCTCCTTCGAGTGGCAAGAATTGTGCATATTTCAATTTTCAAGATAAGGAAATTTCTTCTGAATCCTGTTCAGAAACAAGAAAATACATATGTAAGCACCGGCTGCATGAGCTAACCTAAATTTTGTACATGCCATTCTCACTATCTGTAAATGACATGTTTTTGTTCCTTTAAAAGTCATATAATCATTTTTGTGTTATTATTTAAATATTATTTAAGAGAGGTTTTGAAATCACAACAAATTAAAAAGATAAAAGAATTCCACACAGGCATTAACCAACATGGTGCCTGTTAAAGGAGAGGAATGTACTTCTCGCAGGTCACCTGGGGTCCATCATTCACCTGAGGCTTCACTCCTGATATTGTAGAATTTTTAAGAAAAATTTATATGAAATTTTAAATTATATACCTATGTACATATTGTATTTTTCTAAATGTTTTTTTATTTATTAAAATAAATCAGGTATAGATTGTAAATATTTGATTCATATTTTTAAGCTAAGTGATTATTACTCAACTTTGAATATTTTGAATTTAGCATTGCAAAATGTGTAATAGAGATAGACACCACTGACGTTTATTGTAAAGAATGATTAACTATTTATAGGGGTTGGCCTCCTAAGAGAGGATAAAAAATTTACAAGGAAAACCTTGGGGTGAATGGCAATTAGCAAAGGAGGTTCCAGACCTCCCTGAGGATGTTTTTAACCTTCACGGAAGTTTGTGGCAGCAGACAGCTTTCCGGCATGCTCTCTGACTGGTGAGAGACAGATGTTCCACAGTCATGATCCAGATTGGCGAGGAGGAGGGAAGACTCCCTGTCAGAATGTCCCCTGGCAGAGCTGGTGGAAGGGGATGGTGACTGAGACTAATCAGAAAGCCGGCTGGAGGTGAGCGCACTGACAGCTGCATCTCAGCCAGTGAAGCAACACCAGGAAGCCGGGAAGAAGAACTCCCAGTGGCTCCCCAGTGCCTTCTACAGCAAAACAACATCATGTGTGCCAACACCGGAGAGAAGTTTATGGGAGCTCGCTCTGTTATGTCAGAGTAGGACAGGACAGTTATTTCAGAGCAGGAGTGGATTTCCCTGCGGTAGGAGACTGGCCGCCGCCAGACTCACTTCCGCCTTCCATTTTCCACCTTCCATTCTAAGGGAGAGGAGAGGGGAGCAGGAACAAAACTGGGGTGGGAAGAGCACAGGGAACTATGGTGATGGCACAGGGTGAAGTGGTGGTGGGAAGCCCATGGGGATTACAGGCAAGATGAAAAATGTGCAAAATGAAGAATGATGTAAAAAAATGTATTTATAAAAAAATAAATGAATAAAAGAAAAAAAAAACTTCAAAAAAAAGAAGGGTGAATTTGAAGTTGGGAGTAATAATCTATTAATTGACACTAATTTTACTATGCAGCAGTTGCCCTATAAAAGCCGTTTGGATTTAGTACTTCCTTGGAGAATCAACAGGAAACTTTACAGACCATTAGCCTTATTTTTAATTGATGTACTGTTGCTTTATAACACTATGTGTATTAAGCGCATAACTTCACATCTTGGTGAGTGTGTCCTTCATATCACAGACAACACCAAAGTTCCGGCTCCCTTCACCACTATAAATGACCCACAATACTTGTTCCTCTCACCCCCTTCCATTATGGAAACTGTTTTTTGCTATTTTGTCTGAGTTTTGTTGTTGGCTTCTTTGTATTCCATTAAAGAATATAGTCAAAACATATTTGTCTTTCCCTTTCTGACTTAGTTAACTTAAGTATTTCAAGATTCATCTCCACAAATAATAAAATTGCACTTCCTTTAATATCTGAGTAGTATTACTGTGTGTGTGTATCTTTATCTAATTATCTTTACATTGACATTTAGGCTGTTAATGTCTGGACTTTGTGAATAATGTCTATTTAGATCATATCTGTTCTTTTTTTTTTTGCTTGTTTGTTCTCTTTTCAACATTTTTTTCGGATTGAGTGGTATGAGTTCTTCATATATTTTGTGTGACATTCCTTTCTTGATATATAAGTTGCAAATACCTTCATCCAGTCTACAGGTAACATGTTTCTGTGGTGTCTTCTTGTACTGCACAAAAGCTTATTATTTTGATGTGGTATAATTTGTTTATTTTTGTTCTTGTTTTCTTACCATTTGGAGGCATCTTTTAGCATATATCAAGGACTATTTTTCCTATGCTTTAGAACTACTGTTTGTTTTAGGTTATACATTCATGTCTTTAATTAATTTTTGTGTATAGTGAAAGGCAGTGGATGATTTCATTCTTTCACGCGTGACCATTCACTTCTGGAAGATAATTTCTTGTTTCCATTCTATATTCTTGTCTCCTTTGTCATAAATTAACTGTTGCTAAATGTATGATTTAATAGTTCATTATCATTTGCAAGAAAAATGTGTTATCTACATTTATTTCCTTAAACATAAGCATAATCTTTATATTCTTAAAATATGTATATATATATTCTCTATTATATATCTATATGTATATAGATATATATAATATATATATATAATATATATGTATATATTCTTTCCCTATATACATATAAGAAAAAAATTGTGAAAATTCAAAACTGTTATAAGATTGGTAACAGTTGATTGCTTAGCTCACCTTCAAAGCAAAAATTTAAAGACTTCATTAAAGTCTTTAATGTGCCTTAACGGCAACCTAGATTTAAGAAAAACAGCAGTAAAAATTCTTGACCTATTATGAAAGGCTCTCTGTAATAAGATATTTTTACAAAGCAGGTATCACATTTTATACTAATTGAGGTGAAGGAGGTATCAATTATAACCAATCACAGTAGAAATGAAAATTCCTAGATATTCAAAATGGTTCCCCCCAAATTTTAGCATTGCTAGTGATAAACTTCCTTGTATTTTATCTGAGTGAATTAACAAATTAATATAAATACTGTTGTATAATAGAAAAACAATGCTCAAATTATCAATATGAATAAACAAATAAAAATCACCAAACTTTTGAGGAGAAAGTTACAAAACTGAATATCAGAATAATGAAGACTAAACAGAACATTAATTGATCAAAGTTAAAAATTTCAAATAAAAGTTATCAGATGTACTGAGATGAATTTATGAGAATGATGATTGTTTATATTAGGCTAAATCTTTATTTTACTCCTCTGTAAAAACAACCACTGGAACAGCCAACACGGTAATGATTTTAATCTGAACCTCCTTCCCCTTCAGAGATATTAAAAAAAAAAAAAAAAAAACAAAGATGTGGGACATAGATAATCTCTGAAATATTAGGGTTATTAATATTGTGTGATGATTATAGGGAAAATTAAATATAAAGCTATGAAGATGAAGCAGACTTGTGAACTAAAGAGAAAAAAAGAAACTTTCTGGAAATATTATATTCTTATTCCAGGCTACCTAGGATTTGGAGGATACGGTCCAAAATTTCAGAGTGCAAAATATAGATACACATGATAAAAATTTTGAATGTAGATTACAAAGTATAAATATTTAAAGCATATAAAAACTTGAAGGAGAGAAATGGTCACATCAAAGAAGTTAATGTCTGAGGAATGAATGGTGGAAAGGAGCCAGAGAAATTTGAAAAAGTCATGAGCAAGAACTGTGGAAATTAGTACAAAATCATTTAATGGAAAAAATCACTTTCATAATCATTTTTAGTGATTATAGAATAGATTAGAAACTTTTGGTGGAGAGTGAAAGAACCTCACTTTAATTTTGCCTGTTTTCAAATATTATATGAATGAATCATAGCATATGTATTTTTTTTAAAAGATTTATTTATTTGTACAGAACTGGGGTACAGGCCAGAGATGCGAAGGGTGAGAGGCTTCACCAGAGACAGAGCGGGGAGCAGAACAGGCAGATCGACGAAGTACACTGCTGAGGGGAGCAGTGGGCGGGTCAGGAGAGGTCTGCCACGCCATGTGGATCTCCTCCGGGGCAGGTGGGGATCGAACTCATGCGGAAGTGGCTTTAGCTTTTTAGTGCAGTGCTTTAACCCGCTGCGCCACCAGGGAGGGCCCAGCATATGTATTTTTATATTTTATATCTTTTTTTTCAGTCACTACTCGATGAGACTCAAGCATGTGGCTTAGCATGAAAATAGTGCACTTATTGTCATTGTTGTATATAGATTTTGGCATAAATAAATGCTTTATTTTACTGTTTTTGTAACACTTAGTCATTACCTTTGTATTTTTTAAGAATAAAGTTGCTATTATTGAAGTGTATATGCTTTTTGTACATAGATAGATAGATAGATAGATAGATAGATAGATAGATAGATAGATAGATAGATAGATAGATAGATAGATAGATATCTGCTGTATATAGATTCTTGGTAAATAGTTGGATCTGGGAGTAGACTTGCTAGATAGTAAGTTATTCATAGAGTCACCTTTAGTAGATAGTGTTAAAGTATTCTAAGTTATTTGTTCTAACCAATTCCTTGCCATTCAAATTACTTAATCCAAAATCTATTTGGATACAAAATGCTGAAGTTGTCAATGGTGATTCTCCTTTCCCCCCAAATTTGGGGAGATTATTAATGAGGGAGAAAATGTAAGTTTAAAAACCAAACAAGTAACACACACACACACAAAATCAGCTAGTACACAAATAGAAATTTGAAGTCATCTGGCTTTTAAGGCACTTACAATTTACTTACAGTTTACCTGGAAGCATATTTGAAAAGTATTACCATTTGTGTATAACTGGTTATTCATACTTTCTAAGATTATACCACCATAGGGAAAAATACCTTCCTGTCCCCTTGTGAATTATAGATTTATGTTAAACAAACAAAATGAAATTTCCTGGTATGAGTGAACTAATCTAATGAACATATGTTCTTTGTAGAAAAAAAAATGACATGTCACTAGAATTGTTCATTTTTAGAATGATATAACCTCAACTAGAGACAGGATTGAGAAATTACATAGCCATCTCTATATCAGGAAACTGTGCCACGTAAAATTGTTACTTGTTCTTCCTCCTACGTGTTCCCGCCTCCCTCTGAAGTATACACTCATGATTTCCAGAAGCTCTACCTGGTGTTACTCTATTACAATGTGTGACGCTATTTGTGTCTCTCAACACCTAAAATACAGCTGAATGTATTAGAGGTTATGGATAAACGTGTGTTTTAATGCCCCATACAGAGGCAAAGCCCATCTGAAGTTTAGATTTGATCCTTTTGGTTTGTTTTTTCAATTCAACACATTTTCAGAAAAGCCCAGAATACAATCGTTTCATTTGGTCAAAACCACCTACCTTATTATGTTTTTGTTTCTGGGTGACTGTTCAATAAAAACCCCCAACCACATGTAGTTTTCACACCACAGTTAAAGTGAGTATCTGAGCATCCTGCCCAGAGGACTGTTTTTCACCACAGAGCTGCACTGTGGTCTCCCCTCCCCCGCAGGGCACACAGGAAGAGCTAAGTACCCCTCATCCTGTAGGGCAATCTTTTGTCTCTCTGGCCAAAATGACCCTGATCAGCCTGGGGGGCTTTTCTCTTTTAACAGTAATTTTTAAAATCTACCTCCTGCCTACCTAGTCAAATTTATATTTGCACAGCTTATTGAGATGCTGGCATTTTGTTTTGTTTTGTTTTATCCGTTTGAGCTAGATTATTTGCAAAGCATCACTACTTTCTCCAATATTTTTGAGAGAAAATATTTATATTTGCACAGCTCATTGAGATGCTGGCATTTTGTTTTGTTTTGTTTTATCCGTTTGAGCTAGATTATTTGCAAAGCATCACTACTTTCTCCAATATTTTTGAGAGGTCAGGGATATGTTCCTGTGGGACCCATGCATGCAATTTTGTGCTTCCCTGACTTTCTTGCTTATTTTTTTGACTCATGAGTCTGGACTCATTTAGCATATGCCTCCTTGAAAATTATTTCCGAAGTCTGTCAACTTACTGAGAGCTTTATGAGGGATACTACAACTCCTTTTGCTTAACTTTATCAGGGTACTTATTAAAAAAAAAATGCACTTGTAGGTGAGATTTTGTCATTCACCCACAGGACTTTAAGTTCCTGTTTGAGCTAAGTGAAGTTAATAGAATATTCAGATGTTTTGTTCCTTTTTCTCACCTTTTATTTAAAAGATGTAAAATTTCAATTACACCTAAGGGCATTAAAATAAAACCAATTTACAGACACTTGTGGTTTCTTGCAGTAGCTGCTCATAGCTTCAGAGTGCTGAGATGTAACCCCTTCAAAAGTGCATTATTTCTCTAATGCAAAGATATCCTGATGAGAAAATTTTTAGAAACCTATTAATATCCTAAAAATTATTGTAGATTTAATCAACCTTTGCTGAGTCAAAAATATTAGCCTATCTTGATTTTATCTCCTATCTAGTATACAGAGAAGATAGTTACAGTATCTAATTGTTTTATTAAGTGAAGATTTTTTTTTACAAAATAAAATCTGCTGACTGAACACACTGATTATGGGTTTACTGACCAAAGTTTTATACTCATGAACATATAAAATAGCTTTTTTTTTTTTCCAGCTGTTCCCTTCTATAATGGCCACAGTGATAAATATGTAATTGAAAACTGTTCATTCAAAATAAATAAATAAATAAATGAAATCTTGCGTTAGGGGCAAGGAGGATGAAACTGGAGGGTAAGATGATAAGTGAAACCAGTCTGATGGAAGAAGATTATGAGATTAATTCTATATGATTCCACTCACATGTTAGCTATAGTCACAAAGCAGATGACCAGATAAAACGGACACACCTATACTTTTGGTAGTGATATTGGTAAACCATGTACAGATGTCAAATTCACAGCTGTACACTAGAAAATCACATAATGTAATAAAACAATGTATTTCAATAAAAAGTCTTAACATGCTAGAAGATTTTTTCATCACATGATGATGTTAGGATTTAACATTTATTTCACCAAGTCAAGCTTCTGTGTAGAGAAAGTGGGAGTAGTGTGGTTTGCCCTATGTATTTTCAAGAGAAAGAGGATATCATAACACATTCTACCATCTCGGGGATCAGAACTGATTCAACATTTGTGGTTTCAATTTTAACTTAGAAACTTCAGTATCTAAATTGCTGTTTGGATAGGATTCCCCAAGAATCAGGACCTGCTTTTTCTTCAGGTGTGTGTTTTTGTGGGGGTATGCCCGTGCCGGTCTGTGGGTCTGTGATTCTAGCAACTGTTATTTAAAAAATGAGGCATTTGGGGGGTTTCAAACTCAAGATAGTCTGTAAAAATATTTATACTGTAAGGCAATTTTAATGGCCTTGTATTTGAACAGAATTACTGAGAACAAGAAATGTTTATTACTTTTGAGATATACTTATTTTCACTTTAAACCTAGATAGGTAATTAAAAAAACTAATTAATACTAATTAAAGAACCAAAAATTGTCATATGTCATAGAACTTTATTTCTATACAAAAGCAAAAAAAGAAAAAAAAAAGTTTTGCATTTGGGATTAAAGAACTGAATTTCAGTTTGAATTTTCAGGAGAATTAGGAGTCTCCTGGTCTTGCAGAAGGTATTTAACTTCTATGATACAGGACTTGCAAAATGAAATAAATTGTATATCTGTTGCTTCCAATTTTTAAATCAAATTTAAAACATTCATTTTTAATCTAAGCATTATACTTAATTAGTCAACATCTTTTTTTTTTTTTTCTGGGAAACTTGTAGATGCTGTAAGATGTTACTATGTAAAGAAATAAGAGATTGTTTTTGTTCATAATGGTGGCTTAATATAGGTGATGATGGTGCTGTGAATAGAAGTTAAACTAAGAAACCATTCAGCAAAAATGCACATGTCTAACTCAAATTTACCTTGCAAAGAAAGAAATTATCATCAAATAAAATAAAACTATTATAAATAAACACTCTGTGTTGACATTCAGTATTAGTGATGGCAAGAGGTTTGCTTAATGTAAGTGAACAAAATACACCCATGATATTTTTTTTAAATCTTTTAAATAAGTTTTTATTGTGTAACCAAGAGATATAAGCATTTATTTTACATGGCTTTTTATGAACTTTTATGTTCATAAAAACTTCTATGTTCCCCCTTTTTGTACACACATGAGGGAATTATATAGTCTTTTTACTTTTTCAATCAAAACATATCATCCCACCACACACACAAAGAAAACAAACAGAAACTAAATGCCCAATTCTATTTTACTCAGGAATCTTTTGAGAAAGAAGACTTTGGATTCACCTCTGAAGTAGATGAGGATTAGATGATGGAGTTCACGCAAGGTCGGTGGAATAACCAGAATGAGGGTATGTACTTTCCACATAAATGTATAGTTTGTCTGCCGTTTATTTTTAAGATCCCAGAATCTGATACAAGAAGGTAAGGCATAGGATTGCAATGTTTCTCCTCCTTATGTTAACTTCATATTCATTTCATATTTTGCTCATATCCTTTTTTTTTTTTAAGATTTATTTATTTGTGCATACAGAACTGGGGTACAGGCCAGAGAAGCAGGGGTGGCGAGAGGATTCACCAAGAAGAACAGGCCGACTAACGAAGTACACTGCTGAGGGGAGCAGCAGGCAGGACAGGAGAGATCTGCCATGCCATGTGGTCATCTCCCGGGCAGGCGGGGATCAAACTCACGTGGAAGTGGCTTTAGCTTCTTAGTGCTGTGCTTTAACCCACTGCACCACCAGGGAGGCCCCTCTTATACTTTTTAATTGACTATTGAATATTAAAAAGCTTATTAGTTTCCTCCTCCCTTCATTTAGTTAATTAACTAACATCACGTCTCTCAAAACTTGAGGCATTTTGAAATAATGACAGCTTTAGGATTTGGAGTTAGAAACTGAACTTTCGCCAAAGTTTCGCTAGTTGTTTGTACTGAATCTAGGGGAATACACAGTCTCTATAAACTTTAATTTTCTTTGCCTCAGCTAAAGAAAGAAAAAGCAATATTTACTGATAATGGACTTAACTGGTGTTAATATTAGGTGACATATATTTTAAAAGTCTTCTTGAGGTAAAAACATTACAGGGTCTCCTGTGCTGAGCAGCACTGTGAAGCTATCCACAGCCACTGGGGCACAAGTTTGATCCCCGGCCAGGGAGCTGACCCACATGGTACAGCAGATAACTTCTGTTTCAGATGACTTCTGCTACTCCCCTCAGCAGTGTTTTTCAGTTGATCCACCTGTTCTGATCTCCACTCTGTCTCTGGTGAATCCTCTCACTCCACCTTATCACTGGACTGCACTCCAGCTCTTGTATACATAAATAAATAAAGTATATATTTAAAAAAAAAACATTATAAACTGCTCATAAGGGAAATCATTATATTAAATGTTGTGATTTTGCCTCTTCTAAGATTCATTTCTTCATCCATAAAATAAAACATATGCTTTTATATGCTTATTAACTAAATTACATATATATACACACAATATGCAGGTTTGATTTTTTTCAGTTTAATGTTTAGAATAAGAGGAAATTGGTACTAGTGTTTTATTTATATGAGGTTTCTGCAGAGTAATAAATACTGTATCAAAAAGAAAGAGAAAATGATTACTGTTTGTTTGAAAGGCAAGATTTTTTTGCATTATCCTTTACTTACTTACTAAGAAGTAAAGGAAGAAAAAGAGCAAAAAAAGTTTATTTGAAAATACTTTTTTTGCTGTTTTTCTTCCTTTCTTTCTTCTTCTTCTTCTTTTTTTTTTTTTTTGTCTTGCAATTTGTAACATTAAATTAGTATATGTGATTTTATGGAATAAATACATGTCTCATTCGGTTAGATGTGGGTCTTTTTTATTCTTCAGGGTCTTTATTGTTAGATTTAATTACAAGTTAAAAAAATGTACTTACTTTAATAGCACACAAGATCTTGCTACAACTATTTTTCCAAAGATTAAATTTAATATTCCTATCACACGTATCAACAACATAGCAAGAAAAGAATATGAAGCAATAGTAATGTGATATTAACTTTTAATAGGCTTTGCACAGAAATGGTAAGTTGAATTTTGAAAATTAATGACCCACATGGAAGAACGACCATGATGCATACTGGTCTGAATTTTCTTTCTTCAGAGCTCAATGAATGTCATGGCAATAACTTTCAACTGGTAAAGCAAGGTATTTCCACAGGACAGCAAAGGAAAAGAACTTCACCGGTGACTACCAAAGTTGGAGAAAACTGTAGGTCTTCAATTTTACTTGGCCTCTCTCATATTCTGAGGTGAATGCTAGAAATTGTTTAGATAAGGGCCTTCCTGGTGGCACAAAGGGTTAAGGCACAGCACCATGAAGCTCTCTGCAGCCACTGCAGCACAAGTTCAAGCCCCAGACAGGGAGGTCAGCAGACCTCTTCTGTCTCATTCACTGCTCCCCTCAGCAGGGGCGTGCTCCCCACTCTGTCTCTGCTGAATCCTCTCATCTACCTGCACCTCTGGCTTGTACACCAGTTCTTGTATGCATAAATAAATCAATCTTTTAAAGAAAGAAAAATTGTTTAGATCAGTGGTTAACAATTAGTGAAATTTAATGAGGAAAACTGAAATGAGATTAACTCTAGTTTAATATTGTAATACATGATACAATTAGCAGAAAATTCTATAGAGGATCCATTTGTGCCTTAACATAATGAGAATGTCATAATAATCATAACAATGAGTAACTAGAGGTGAAAAGTAGAAAAGAAATACAAGATATCTTTCAGAAATATGACCTTAAACAGTTTAAATCCAATGTGATTGTTATTCACAGAAACATTTCTAAATATAGTGAAGAAAGTATGATGTTGTATGCAATGCTGAATAGCATTGCAAAGAGAGCTTGACAGAGCTTGCACAGAGAGAAAACCACAAACTGTTCTAACCTATGACTCTATTAAATGTTAAAAATAAAAATAAATTATGATCAAGTAGTATCACTTTACAAGAGTTATGAAAACATGAAAGATGTAATCATCAAAGAGGAATAAGTGAATGATCATATGCATAATGTTGAAAAGATTTGGGAGAAAATTCAACATTATTCTTAATTAATTAGTTAATTTTTAAAGCTTCTAAAATAGAAATGAATATGCCTATGTTGAGGTTCAAACCTTGTTGACAGCTTGTTGACAAATGCTGGCAGCATTTTCATTATAGTGGGAAAAAGGCAAGACTTTTTATTACAATTATCACTGCATAATAATAAGCATAAAAGTGAAAAAAGTAAATGTTATGCAATTTAATAAAGAGGGAGTATTAAAATATTTGCAAAATATGTGTATGACTGAAAAACACTGAAAAACTCCAATTTACCATCCAAAATATTAAAAACATAAGGGTATTTGAATTTGGTTGAAAATAACATCTAAAAATCAGTTGTCTTATTAAATAAAGACAAGGTAAACATTTTTATAAAATTAAAAATCAGAAAAAAACAGAATTCTTATGAGTAAATATATGTATTTACAATTTTACTATGACATGAAGAGACATGAATAATGGAAATAGAAACTTTTTTTAGGGTAAGAGGCATTCTAAAAATGCAAATTATCTTCACATATCTACTCATTTAATATGATTCTACTGAAAGACCAGTGCACCATATTTTAAAAATCCAGGCTTCTGAAAAGTTTTCTTTGAAGTTCTTAAGAAACATAAAAAGCATAATTATACTGAAAATATGAAAGAATATAATTTTGTGCACATTATCAAATACTCAAGTATATTATAAAACTAAGGAAATTTTACATATAATTTGAATGGACAGATTAAAGAGTTGTGAACAAAAGTAAATACATATGGGAATATATTATAGGCCAACAAATGATATTTCATATTGATGAGGTCACATTAATTTTTTAATAGATAATGTTAGAAAAGTTCAGTGCTTACCTGGAATTATGTCTTATAATCTTTGTTCCTGAGTTATACACACACACATACACACAGAAACTAATAAGGAAGGACACTATATATCATTTTGAAGGGCCAAGGTCATGATTTATAAACTCAGAGTGATGATAGCATTTTTTGCTCATATCAAAAAACCATAAATTATAAAGTAAAATTTGATCAGGTCAACCATAGAAAAATCACCTTTTTTTCTCACAATCAAAATATCACAAAGTTAAAACACAAATAATATCTGAAATGTATTTGCAAAACAACTGATAAGAAATAAACTATTATTTTAAAATATAATTACAAAAGATACTTAAATAAGAAAAATCTCAAATAGAAAATAGATATTCTCTAAACAGAGTAAACTATGCTCAATGTTTTTAATAACAAGAAAATGTTACACATAAGGATGTATCGGTTAGCAGAATTATGCATTCCAAAATAAGAAAAAAATTAAGGGCAGTGAAAGGTATCAGCAAACAGGCTTTTATTTATTCATTTTGATTGAGTTAACATTACTCTACTGTGTCTGATTTAGGGTAATAAGTTTACCCTATTCTGATCTATGTCACCATATCACACCCACTTTCAAAGAACCCATAGTCCTTTAAATGTAACTCTGATACTACAAAAATTGGTATAGAATCTGAATGGAAATTTTCAATCATTATAAAAATACAACACAGGCACCCTTTGACTCAGAAATTACACTTTCAGGAATCTTACCTTACAGTTACTGAAAAATAAGTACAAGTTGAATGAATTATTCATGTCATTATTCTAAAAGTGAAAGCTAAGAAACAAGATAAATATGCATTGGGAAAAAATTAAAATCTGTTAATACTTAGATATGCCACTAAAACATATGCTAATCAAATATTGTAAGAAACTATCACAAATCTGACACATTGTAAAATATACTATGTAATAATTACTAGCATGTGGATATTCATTTAAATTATTTTGAGGTCATATTGGTTTTCACTTTACAATCTGGAGGTATAGGATCACACCCTTCAGATATGTTATCACACCACACCCACCATCAAAACTCCAGTACTCATCCACAATGTTCCACTGGACACTCACACCTCCGCTCCCACTGCATTACCAAAACACCTGTTTGCTTCAGTTTTACAGTTCAGATGTCAAATGCCTTTTATTGCAGAGTAATTGCTTTGCTTCTCTATATTCCAAACATAGGTGAAACCATCCTATAATTCTCATCCTCCCGATATAGATATATTCCACTTAGTATTCCCCTTTCCAGAACCATCTCACATTATTGCACATGGCCAGAGTTAATTGTTTTTATAGCTAAGTAGTATTCCTTTGTGTGTGCATGTGTCAAAGTTTCTTTATCAACACCTCTATCCCTTGGCATGTAGGTTGTTTGTATAATTTAGTTATTGTAAATAGTCTACAGTGAATTTAGACGTGCATGTATCCCTTTGAATTAGAGTTTTTGCATTCTTCAAGTAGATAACTAGAGAGGAATTAAAGGTTCATATGGTAGATCTAATTTTAATATTTTGAGAAATCTCCATCCTATATTCTACAAGACTTGGATCAGTATATAGTCCCACCAAAAGTGTTTCCTCCCCCCCCCCATTCTGCCCAACACTAATTTCTGATCTTTTGATATAACAGGCCATTCTTCTGGATGTGATGAACTACCTCATTGGGATTTTGGTTTTCATTCATATCAAATTTTTTTTTACACCTACTGATAGGAATTTTTCTCTTTCTTTTTCTGGATGTGATTACATTAATGGAAATTTGACATTGATCCACCTTGTTCCTTTATATTAACTCTCTTGTTCATGATGTATAATCCTTCAATGTTCGTTAAATTTGATTTGTTAAAATTTTGTTGAGGTTGTTTTCATCCTGACTGGCATACTTGATCACTCACCTTTTGTTCATAAATTTAAATTACTTAAATTCCCTCCACATCTAGTCTGTTGCACTTGGTCTCTGCTGTCCAGGTGGTACTTTACTTTCACTTGAGTCACAGGCTGTCTGTGTTAAGTCCCCTGTGGACTACTTTGTATTATTCTCCTAAGAGCTAAGCAGGCAGCCTTCTTTCATACCATCTACCTTTTAAGCTTTCAGGATATATTCTTTTTTTTTTTTTTAAAGATTTATTTACTTGTGCATACAGAACTGGAGTACAGGCCAGAGGCTCAGGGGCGGCAAGAGGCTTCACCAGAGACAGAATGGGGAGCAGAACAGGCAGATCAACGAAGTACACTGTTGAGGGGAGCAGCGGGAGGTCAGGAGAGGTCTGCCGCGCCATGTGGTCACCTCCGGGCAGGCGGGAATCTAACTCATGTGGAAGCGGCCCTAGCTTCTCAGTGCTGTGTTTTAACCCACTGTGCCACCAGGGAGAGCATCAGGATATATTCTTAAGTCAAAAATTTCACAGACCATAGTTTATTAAATGTGTTTGTAAAAAGGGGCAGAAGGGAAACTTATATGTATTTTTATTTCATCTGCCCGGAAAACATTAAAAATGATGACTGTGATTTATTATAGGAGGGACCAGTAACTTGCAGAGAGGAATAAAGGAATATTACATTCTATCCTGTTGTTTTTAATCATTTACAAAGTAATTATGTTATCTATTCTGAGAAAAATGAATGAGGAAAAAGTACTAATGTACTCACCCTTTAAAAAAACAAGCTAATGTGTATATTAAATGCAGAGATACATAATCCTTCAATCTTTATTTTGATCATCTTTTGTACATTTTTCCCTGACAGCACCTCCTTTTATCCTTGTCCGTTCCATTGCTGTAGCATTGGGGATCCATTTTGTTGTAATGACAGTAATATATGGTGTCATGGCCATCAACTGTAAGTGATATCTACAAAGAGGTCGATAACATTGTTACTCTAATGACAGTCATGTATTATTATTGCTAAGACCCAGACACACAGGGACATACATTCTTAATATTGAATGTATACAGATGTTGTTATTAACCTAGAAATGTGTTTTTGAATTAAATTACTAACAATACAAATATTTTAAATATTATTATTTTAATAGTGTTCTTTAACCAAGGAGCTCAAGTTCCTTTGAAAGGTAAGTGAGTTTTCCTGTATTTTAAAGCACAAATTGCATTGATCTTTCTGTCTCTTTCCATCTCATGTACACACATTATCTATGCACATGTATCAAAAGACAAAAAAAGTGTAAAAGAAAATGATTAAATTTGTTCATAATCCATGCTTGTATAGAAATATTTCTTTGGGAGCTATTAAAATAATCTGAAATTTCAGAGCTAGAATTAAGAAAAAATATTTTACCCATCTATGCAAAATCTGCTATAATGTTCAACTATATGTGAAATTAGTGATGTGTTTTCCATTTCTAGGCAGTTACTATGACTCATGTCCTGTAAACTGGATACATTATAAAAATAAATGCTACAAATTTTTTAATGAGAACAAAAACTGGCATGAAAGTCAAGCTTCTTGTAAGACTCAAAATTCCACCCTCCTGAAAATATACAGCCAAGAAGATCAGGTGAGTATTTTTTCTTTTTTTTGAATTCTCATTCTTATATTTAGTTATAATATATGAGATAAATTACAAAAATGTGAACCTCAGCATGAAGATTCAGATATAGCAACCTGAATTCTTTCTGCATTAAAACTTATAAAAGAAAACACAGAAAGCACAGATATGATGTATGTATTGTGTAACTAGGATTTATGCATGAAAATATGTTTTACCCAAGTGTGAAAAGAAGTGATTAAATGACCATGCTTTTGCGATTATGTGCACACTAATTTTGTTTTTGATATATTTATGGCTTCAAACAGGACTTTTTTAAGTTGGTGAAGTCATATCATTGGATGGGACTAACACAAATTTTACCAAACAGATCCTGGCAGTGGGAAGATGGCTCGATTCTCTCCCCCAACCAGTAAGTCCCTAAAGCAGTAGGTATCATTTGTGGACTTGTCCTAAGCTAGCCTGATGATCACTGAACTACCATATTGTCCCTCACAGCAGTAAGGTAGAGGGGGCCCATGTATATGTGTCTGTACAATACACAGTTACAGGTTAATGTGATCATATTCTATGAATACATATACACAGAGATGAAGTCCTGGGTCTCCATGTTGCAGTTCGGGACCCCTACACCTTACTGCATAGATGGATTTGCACACACAGAGAATGTCACAAAGGTTTCCGCATACACCCAGCTATAGCTGTTCTTAGCATTGGGGAGGTCCTCGGGGACACTTCTAACTTGGGACACACACTAAGCATCACATACATTCTATTTTGAAGTTATTGCCAGAATTGTTGAGATATGATTGATATTTAATAAACTAGACTTACATAAAGTTTGCAATTTACTAAATTTCATGAGCGTATCTATCCATGAATCTACTGATTACATCAAGATAACAAATGTAATAATCTCCTGCAAAACTTACTGTTTCAGTTGCTCCCAGTTGTTGACTATTATAAATTGAGCCACCTGCAGGGAGGGATAGAACTCCTTCAAGAGACTCACACTTCAGTCAATGATACAGTTATAATCCGAAAAGTATTACCCAGTATAATCAGTGCTTAGAGAAATGATAACAGATATTATGGCATATCTGTGAAATAAGAAAGCCTGCCATATTCTTAAAAGCTCCTGAAATGATACAATTTCCTTATGTATATTTGAAAAATTATTATTTCATTTTTTTTTTTTTATTTTACATCAGTAAGTCATGGCCTTGTTGTTCTTCCTGATCCAGAGTAACCGTGTATGAAATGCAGAATGGAAGCTGTGCAGTTTATGGCTCAGATTTTAAAGGTTATACTGAAAATTGCTTCACTCCAAATACCTACATTTGTATGCAGAGCATGGTGTCAAGAGCTTGTGATTTATAAAACAAAAAGGATTCAAAGCTACAAAACCCATTTTCTAAAGAAGAAAATTTTCTATTCTCATCCTCATTTTCCAGAAGAAAATGCTGCCGCTATTTATTGAACTGTACTTTCATCACTGGCATGTGACACATAAGTAATCATAGGGAATACAACTCAACAGTAAAGAACTTATCTTCTGTAATGATGTTTTGTTCATTTAAAAAAAAATTGAGTGACAAACATGCATATTTAATTTAAGGTCTGCTTTAGATATTCGAGAGCTCAACTAAATTTTAAAGGATGATTTTATTAAATATGTATGCATATCAAACTTCTTTTGTTTAAGGCTTATTTATGTATGCATACAGAACTGGGGTACAGGCCAGAGGTACAGCGGCAGAGAGAGGATTCACCAGAGACAGAGTGGGGAGCAGAACAGGCAGACAGATGAAGTACACTGCTGAGGGGAGCAGCAGGCTAGACAGCGGAGTTCTACTGAAGTTGCCATGGCTTGGCTTGGCTTTGCAGTGCAGCGTTCCAACCCACTGCACCACCAGGAAGAGCCCACATGTGTATCATTTCTTACCCCAGTTGCTATTAGTTCTGTTGCTATTGTCAGATTGTAATTTGTGACTATGGATGAGGAAGAGCAAGACAACTTCATTCTGGTATGGGTCAATTTGGAGAGTTTCTGGATTGAGAGTAAACTAAAGATGTCAAAAGTTGTCTCGTGGTCTTCAAGCTCTGTATTTTCTGTGTACATCTTTCTCCACCAGGAGTATATTTGACTATTTCCCTCCAACTCTGGGGCCCAGCTTTCCTGTCTTCACCAGAAAACAAAGTCTTTCCATGGAGCTGGTTTTTCTCTCAAAAGTACTCTTACCTCTGGATCCCTGCTGACCTTTGTTAAGTCCAGACCTCTCCATAAGTACCAATTCATTGACTTTTCCATCTGGATTAGCTCTTTGTTATAATCTATAATTCTCTCCCCTCCCTAAAACCTCATTTTACTGGTATGTATGCATTGATGTCATTATATATTAACATCTGTCCTCACTGTAGTTTGGAAGCCCCATCAGGTAGATTCAGCTCTGTACATGCGAGTCTCTAGGTCTGAAGGCTCAGCTTGACTAATGGCAAAAAACCCGTGTTTATGAATAAATTGCTTATTTCTTCCATTCTAGAGGAGAATGCCAACTCCACCCAGGGAGGTGACCCACATAGCACAGCAGAACTCTCCTGTCTCTCATGCTGCTCCCCTCAGCAGTGTATTTCAGTCAATCTGCCTGTTCTGCTCCCCACTCTGTCTCTGGTGAATCCTGTTACCACCCCTGGACCTCTGACCTGCACCCCAGTTCTGTATGCATAAATAAATAAATCTTTAAAAAAATAAAAATGTTTCACACCTTGTGTGGCTAACAAAGTTTTAACATCTCCTAACTCTCCAAATCACTTTTAAACCATTTTCACATTTGACAAAAGTGCATTTTTTCCTGAGTTCATTTGTTCAGGCATTTTTACCTGCTAGCCCTGAATATTTATTCTCCCACAGATGATCTACTGAGGCAGAAGATGACTGGTATTGTACAGAAATATCACTATTACTCTAAAAATATGACAAAATTTATTTTGAAAGTACTCAAAAATTTGAATCGTAAGTAAGATCTACAAATAACTCATTCTAGTCATCAAGGATTTTATTTAAAATTCTGTCTCAATAATGTTTTTGACATTAGTAATTTTCATTGTATCAATTCTTAAGTTGTTGAATGGTATTTATTGCATTTATCTTATTAAATATTTTAAGGTATGACACCTAATTTTATCAAAATAAATATCTGATGTAGATGAAATTTCTACACAGGGAAATCTCAGATGTTCATTTTATTGTCTTTCCATTGTATTTCATTTAATCGGAATATGTCCTCTTCTTACAGATACAATAGCCTTCATTTTGGCAATCTTCAGCAACAATCTTACCATATCTTATATATGTGCACTTGTCATTAGCATTTTCATATCCTGGAGTTAGAAACCTAGAAGATAAAAATATATTAGAGCATTAATTTATTTTCCATAGAAATTTCATTTCTAAGGTTAAAATTTTGATATACTTCCAAAGAAAAGGAAATGTTATTTTCCCACCTCTCTAAAAGAAACAATGAGAATACTCAACTGTCATACAAAATTTCATGCTAGATCTGGAAGTGGGAAGTAACATGCTTAAATTTCTGGCCCACATGCAACTTTAGGGTGGCTTCTATTTTCACTGAAGTTTAAAGTCTCCCTTTATGCAATAGTATTTGGATAAATACACCCCATTGCATAAGCAGTGAGGAAAATTATTGTCATCACCAATAATGGAAGCTTTACTCCTTCAAGAGAAAAGATCACAATCCTCATGAGTAAGATGACTTAAGCATTTAAAAAAGCTAATATATTTGAATCTGTTAATGAGGATCAAAGGAATTCAGGGAAAGTCTCAGGAACTTGAGCCCCAATTCTGGAAGTAGGCCATGTGAGAACTGATGAAAGTGCAGCTTTCAGTTTGGAATGAGAATACTATTTCTTAAACTGTTAGGTGTCTCTGTTGTCTTCATTTGAACATGGAATTTATGTTAGGAAATCATGTCTGTTAAGTGTGGGCACAGTGCAAACATTCTAGCCTATTTTGTTCATGCTATTTCATAAAAGAGATCATATGCTTTAATAAGATTTATGACTCCATGATGTATTTCATTTAATTCACCCTAAACACTTAGCAGAGAGGGCATACAGGGGGAAAACACACCTTAATTGAGTTGTTCTAAGTACCAGGTACTTTCCACATCACAAAGTTTACCATTCCATGTATTTTTTCATAATCTTTCTATGGAATAATTTCCCTTATTCATTTTGGAATGGAACAAAAACTGAACTCAGAATGTTTGAACAGCAAGAGTCAGAGAGCCAAAACTTCAGTCTAAATTTAACTTCAGTCTATGGTATCAATTCCTCAGCACTTAAATGGTGGAAGTGAAGATGGGGAAACCAAGGCATGTTATTTAAAAGTTCCCTGATAGTCTTGCTAAATTGACCTTTACAAATGTAGTGTCTACTTGAGCACACTGGGAATCCAATAGGGGACAATGTAGCAATGGGCTTACAGTAAATAAAATGAACATACAATAAATATAAATTTGTATTAGAAAGAGAGTATCCATGATAAAGAACAAAATAGGAAAAAAACATCAAGATGAACAATACATGATAATTGTACATGATAACTAAGTAGTAGATACTTAGTTGAACCTACAATGTTAAGTCTCATGTGTTTTATAGATTATGTATCACAAACTTTTGGTGATATATTTGGGCATTTTCATATTGCATTATCCAGTGGTGTTTGAAATGAATGTTATATTAGAAAGGTAGACTGGAATGTATGTTTTGGAAGAAGATAAAAGCTTAATAAAATTTCTGATTTTCAAAATCAGTTGCTTTCTTTTACACAACTACCACTATATTTCATAAACATCACTAACAATGGAAGACAATGGAGTGAATATATGCACCCCTAGTAAGATATGTTTCAGTTATTTCAGATCTTCAGTCATAACTGCATCAGTAATCAGATAGAATGATAAGATAAATTTATGATTAATTATAGATAATTGTTACACTTTCCTATGAAAGCTTTGTAGGGGTTTTTGGGGTTTTCCAAACTTATTAGTAGGAGAATTTTATTGTTGATGGAGTAGTCAATCACATAAAAATTAATATGACAGTTTTTCTATGTACTTAGATATTAACAATTTTTGTTCAGTCTTTCAATCACTACTAATAAATTGCAGAGTTGTGATACCTCTGTCATAAAACTGATAAAAACCTAATGATATATGGATATTAAATATTTAGCTTTGTACTGTGATTCTCTTATGTTCTTCTTTCCATGTAATTGTTTCTTCCTTATTGAATTGTTATGGATTCATTTGTTATGGAATTTGTCATTAATCCATATGCAAAGAAAATATACACATAAGTGAGTGTGAGTGTGTGTGTGTGTATGTGTGTGTGTATGAAAACAATGACTTCTGGACTGTACTAAATTTTCAAATACTTGGAGACTTACTTGTGCATGGTAAAATCTGTACCATCAAGCCACACCCATTTCAGTCGTCTGCTGTTGTAGGATAAACTGATCGAAAACTTTTCATTCTGCATATCACATTGCAATTTTGAAAATCTCAAGACAAAATTCTGTGGGGGGAGGAAAGTAAGTCAGAAAGTAGAACTATTCCTAAAAGAGAACCATACTGACTTAAAATTAAATGCATTTTGCTTGAAAACTTCCTTCCAGTGTCTGCTGTTAATATGATAAGAATCAGTAGGGATTAGTTGTAGATTCTTTAGCCAGAGGCTGAGTTTCAACAGTGATTACTCATTGATTTATTGAACAATTATATTTTAAAGATTGTAATATCTTAAAATCACTTTCTTAGATTATGTGTTATAAATTTGTAAAGCAAGTCCTATAGAGTAAATACATCTATTAGTCACTGAAAAAGCTGTAATGAGTTAGCTTATGTCATAAGTAGTTACACCTGCCACACATTTTAAATATAGGATCAAAGTAGAATGAACTTTTTCAAAGGAAGTTGCCAAATAAGTCAAAAGTTAAAAATAGAAAACAATGCATTAACAAAGGAAAGTTTGATGGGGATGAAGAGAACTTAAAAAGTGGCACAAGCAGATTAAAAAAAAAACAAAACAGCTGGAGAGTCAAGGACATGAAAGAAGATGATGAATTTATAAGTTCCTTTAAGCTGGGATCATGGCATGCTTCTCTGTAACAGTTTTGTGGGAAGTCCTTAATCACAGAGGTGACCAGAGAAATAGGATCCAAGCATAAATGAAACATCCACATGTGATCTGTCTGTATTCCTCCCAGGTACTGATAAAGGAATCCAAATATTGCATCAGCAGACATTAAAATTAGGCAAATGGTAAATATTGGAGCTTAAAAAGTATATAGAAGAATG